TAATTATTGTTATATTGATGATAATTCTATAAAATTATCTAAAGATTTATATCATAAAGGTAATCATATTTTATTAATCTTTAGGTTATGATTTATATTAGGGAGATAAATATGACCAGGCAATATAACTATTAGATAAATCAATACAATAAAATCCTAATAACCATTTATCCTTGTGGTGTAAAGGTAAAATTATAGATAATTGATAGGCGCATGTTTAAAGTGGTTAAATAAATATGAGGATGCAATCATTTGGTTGGATAAATCATTAGCAATTGATCCTCAGCATGTTTATTCCTTAAATGACAAAGGTAAATTGAATAATAATTATATTAATAGGTCAATGTTTACTATTATTGAAAAAATATAATGAAGCTTTATAATTAATCGATTAGGTTCTTTCCATCAATCCACAAAATACATTTTCTCTTTAATGCAAAGGTATAATATAATTGTATTTTTAGGGGATTGCTTAAGAGATTAATAAAAATATTAAGAAGCTCTAATTTATTATCAGAAATCATTAAAGATTGATCCTAATGATCAATATACAATTAACTAAACAGGTATACTTAACTTATTAAAATTAGAATTTTGCTAGAAGAAATTGAATCAATGAATATTCAATATAAATAATTAATTTTGATAGATAATTATTTAGTTCAGAAATAAATCTGGACAGACAATGTCTCTGCATAATTTCATGAATTTCAATTAAAATTTCAATTTAATATGTATACACAAATTTTAATCTTAATCTAGTTTTTCTTTAATTTCCTATTTATTCTATTTTTACCTGACTTTTAGTTTTATAAAAACATTTCAAAGTAAAAACAAAACTTATTTTTTCAAAATTTTAAGATAGATATGGCTTTCCAACTCTTCCATTATCCAAAATATTTCTATACTAATTATGGAACAAATATTGTTGATATTTTGGAATGTATTACGTTAATAATAAGAGAATTAATATTTTCTTATTATCTTAGTTAGTTTTAACTTTAAATGATACTATTGCCAACTTTATTTTTCGGCATTTCTAAGAGTACTCCCCTACTAATAAATTTCACTAGATATCTGAAAATATAGAAAGATAAAACAGTTAAGTATAAATAAAACAAAATACAAAAATAATATAAAAAGCTAAAGCTAATATTAAATTTTCAATATAGGCAATCTAATTTTAATTAAAATTTCTTCATTTTTTAAGTTTTATTAAGAATTGTTGATTTTATTATTAATCAAAATTAAGTTTATAGCTTAATTAGTTTTGAGTACAATTTTATCTTTAACTACAAAATTTTAATTATCTTAATATTACTCCAACACTACGGATTTTAATATTTTTTCGAATATAGTAAAATATCTTATTTATCATTTTGATAAAGTATAACTAAATGTAAGGTACATTATAATATAAAAACTCTTAGCTTGGCCTAAAAAAAAGCATTATAATTTGATACTAAATTAAAAAAATGGGTTTTTAGAATTAAATAATCAAAGATTAATCAATAATAGAGAAGATGCAATCTAAATTTATTATTCATAATTGAGATCCATTATCTGCATATTCTAAGAGTATTAATAGATTAGTAAAAAAACTACTTTTCTTTTTTATATTATTGAAGGTTAATCAAAAGAATAATAATCTTTATATGATGATCTAGAATTCAGTTTTAAAATTATAATATAAATATTTATCAATAGTTTTATGTAAATTTAATGCTGGCTTCAGGTGTATCTATTGATTGTAAATTTAAATTTTTATTTAGTTGTTATGCACAAGGTACAAAGCCTAATAAGAAGGATTGAGTTTAAGAGTTTATTGCTTATAAATTATCGTAAAACTGTTAGGGTATATCTTAAATATTTGCCATGAGATCAAATGAATGGAGTTGCTTTGATTGGGCTAAAGAAGAATTTGAGAAACCTGATAATCTTTCACATAAGAAAAGCTATTGGAAGATACTCAAAAATTAACTAAATACCTCCAAATTTGATATTCTTTGGTAATTCGTCATAATATAATTTTAATTATTGTTTAGAGGGATCCTAATCTATGAAACAGAATAAAAATGGATCATCCTTCAAATGGGAAAAACTTCTTTATTCACAGCAGTCTGTATAGAGTTTTCTCCTGAATTTTATCTTCAATTTCTAACTATACAACTTCATTTTTAATAATAAAATTTCAAATAACTTAATAACATGTTAAATTGAAGCTGGTAGTAGTTACCATATTTTTTTTACTCATAAAATTTCTTTATTATTGGCAAATTTTGATGAATGTATCAATCTATTCTTGTTCATCGTAAGTTATGATATATTATATAAATTTGATGGCCTATAATTATCTTCTTCAAAGTCTAAATTGAAATCATTATTAGGTTTAATTTCAAGGCTTCTAATATTAATTAGGTATCATATTATTTATTGAAATTCACTCTCTAAGGCTGTTATTATAATTAAAATAATGATTTCTTTTTGATTATTCTTGTATAATTTTTCTATCAATTATTTAGAGCTAAATTTCTTTCATAATAATGTTGATTGGTTATCGAACTTCCTTGTATGATTTTGTCTCCATTCACAGGTTAGGTAGATCTTATTAATGCTGTTTCTTTAAAGAGATATTAGAGCAATATAATGTTGAAAAGATCAATCAGTTTGTGGCATCTATAGTCATGATATGAAGATATTTGAATTTAATAAACATAATTCACATTAAAAAAAAGAAATGCATGATATTTTGGTTGTAATCAAAAAAATATTAAATTTTTTAATTATTTTAAATATTGTTCACTAATTAATAAACCTTTTTTAATTTCTTCATTGATTCTTTTCTTGTAATATAAATTCTTTTATTGCTCAATTTAAGTATTGTTGCAGCAATTTATGATAATAAAAACATTGGATGTACCAAAAAGAGTAGGATTGGTATTAGATAAATTTAAATAAACAATTAATTTTTGGAAGTCCATTGATTCTATTAATAAGAATAGATGATCCTATATTTATTGTTTTCAATTTTATTTAGTGAAATTAAATAAGAATGTTTCATGTATCATAAATTAAGATATAGTGAAATAAAATTTGATAACTAGCTATGTATATTGTAAAATGATTGTAACTACACCTATTGAAATATAAAAAGAATGACAACAATAGAATATTGAGACTTTATTCCTTAAAATTTTGAATGAAAGAGTTTTGATTATTATTTTAATGATTTTTTTCTTTTTTAAATTCAGTATCATTCATAGATTAATAATTTACTCTATTTATGAATAATAACTGAGATTAGATTTATATGAGTATTTGATTTATAAATAATATTTATTAGCAGATATAAATTATAAAAATTAAAATAAATTATGAATATTTCTTCATAAAATGATTAAACTTAAATTAATGAGCTTTAAGAAGTTACAAGAGATCAGGAGTATTTTGATTAGGCAATGTAATTATTATTCAGAAGATAATTAAAAATCATTTTCACAAAAAATTAAGAGATCAAAATCATATCTTCAAATGGAGAGATTATTAGAAGGTAATGATCTTTATTATCAACATTTAGTGATATTATCTTAAGTTCTTGCCATGAAGATCCAGAATTACCCTTTTTTAATTTAGAACAAATTAAACATTTAAAATGGCTAGGAAAATTTTAGGATACAAAAAAAGTTGGAAAGTGGATAGCAACATGGAAAAATGAAATATTACTAGATGTAGGTGGTTAGTATTGTTAAAAAGGGATGAAGTAAGGTAGATGGAAAGAAATATTTAAAAATTACTTTGAGTATTTCTCATTATTAATTGTAATAGAAAAGCATAAGTCTATGAAGAAGGAGAATATATAAATGGTATGAGAATAGGGATATGGAATATCATTTATCAAAATAAGCTGATGTAATTTATAATAGATAATCAAAGTGGTGGAGGATTTTATGATCAATAAGGTTAGAAAAACGGTTAATGGATTGAATTGTGCAATTATTTTTAATGGTATATAGTGTTTATGTCTATATATAATTAGTGATAATTAAATAATATTTCAAGGAGAATATCTTAATGGTAAAAAGATTGGTACTTGGGATATTAATAGAAAAAGGTTAGCTATTTTCCTTAACCTTAATGGATGTAAAAAGAAAGGGAATTTAGAACTAATGTAAATTATAAATATACAAAATAATTTACAGAGGATAGGAGTAATATGATCAGCAAGGTTAAAAGAATGGAAAGTGGGTTGAGTTAAGTGATGATTTTTAAAAGTATAGATTATGAAAAATTAATTTTTAGAGAAACCTAAATCCTATACTGTGGTGAATATAAAAGCGGTAGGAAATGTGGTATATGGGAAATTCATTATTAGAAATAAAGCAATAGGCCATTTTATTTTATGTAGATTATAATTATTAAATAATCATAGTGGATGTGGTATATATAACATGGAAGGGTATAAAAATGGAAGATGGGTTGAAGTGACCAAGAATTTTTTGAGGTTATAATAATAATAGTTTGATTATAGTGATGGCTAAGTGATTTATGATGGGTAATATTAAAATGGTAAAAAAATTGGGAAATGGGATATTAAAGTTAAGAATGATTAAACATTTGAAAAAATGTAGAAATAAATTTACAATTCTTAGTGGTTATGGATCTTATGATGAATAAGAACATAAAAATGGTATTTGGCTAGAATTGAGTGGAAATTATCGGAAGTATTAATAATCTATTATTATAAAAGTATTTATAGTGAAGTCACTTATTATGGAGAATACAAAAAAGATAAAAAAATTGGAAAATGGGAAATCTATCACAAATAATCGAGTAATTATCCATTTAAATTAATGTAACTATTAATATATATAAACATGATAGAGGTGGTGGATCATATAATGATGAAAGTGTTAAATATGGTATTTGGATAGAATTGAGTGATTATTTTTCGAAGTTTTATTTTAACTCAAGATTTAAATTAGTCAAAATGAAGTCCTTTATTAAGGTGTATATTAGAATGGTAGAAAGGTTGGCAAATGGGACATAAAATTTAAATCTCACTAGTTTAATGACTTTCATAATATGTATTTTTATAGATTTAATTTTTAAGTGGTGGCGGAATTTATGATAACCAAAATTTGAAACATGCTAGTTGGGTTGATGTAGGCGATAATTTCTCAAAGTTTTATTTTTGAATTATATGTTTAGAAATTAATCAATAATTCATAAAGGAGAATATAACCATGGGAAAAAGATTGGATTATGGGAAGAAATGAGAATATGCTGTGAAAATACAATTTTTAAAATGTAAAAGATAAATATTTATATTTAGAGGAGAAAAAATTTATGATTGAAAGGTATGTAAAAAATATTTTTATTTAATATCCCTTTATTTTTATAACTATCTTATTTAAGGATAATATCTAATATTCGTTATGTCTAACTAAAATGTTCATAATAGGGTCATTTCTGTATCCAAAATCAGATAAAAATTGATCCAAATCCTTTTCTATAATTAATTTTTATATAGATTTCTATTATGATGACACAATATAGTTTAAATTATTATGGTGGCATAATTTGATTAATAGACAGATTTGGCTCACAAATTTACGGTTTACTGTAAGGGCCTTATGGATTTTAATAGTTTATAGCAAATAACAATCATATAATTTATAATTAGATTTACAAAAGTTAATTTTAAGTATTAAACTTCTTGTTATTAATATTTAAAATGTTATTTTGTAAGCTTCAGTTAAAAATATAAATAGATATATTATTTATTTGTTTACATTACGATAATTTTTCTTATTATATTTAATACAGAATTTTTAATAATTTCGTAATTCAATAAATTTTCAAAAGTCTGATAAACAGGGTTACATTATTATATCAGGAATTTGTTTTATGAAATTATTGATACATTATCATTACATTTCTTAAATAAATTTCAAATAGTTAATATATGGGTAGCAAAAGTTCTTTAACAAGTAATAAAAAGGTATAATATTTTGTCTATAAATCATCATAACATCAGTTTAATTCAATATAGAACAAGACATTTGCATAATTGTCTAATTCTTATACATCCCAAAAAGGAAAACTAATTTAAAATTTAAAATTCTTATAATTGATAAAAATTTCAAGTAATAATTTATCTTTAGCAATTAGTTGTTTCAAAAATGATAAGTAAGTTTTTGTAATAACAAAAATAATTATACAATCAAATTCATGAAAGGTAAAATTACACAATTTAATTTCTAACTTCTGTTTATTCGAAATTTAGATAACTGATTGTTTGTAATTTTTATAATATGAAAATTATTAAATTCCAAAATAGCAATCAATAATATTCAAATTGAATTTTTAAGTTTTATTTTAGATAATTCATAGTTTTTTTTTCTAATGGTGGTTATTAAAATAATTTCTATAGATACTATTTATAGTAATAGTATAAGATCATTTTAAAAATATGATTGAGATGAAGACTAAATAAAATAGTAGAGTTTTTCATTTTATATTTATATAAGTTCTATTCATTATCCAAGATAGACTATAAAATTTTAAAAAGAGATATATTAAAAACTTATAAATTTTAATATGCCTGCTTCATCATTAAATTTTAAACTATTTATTGTTATAATTAAAAAAAGGATATAAGCAAAAGATAAATAGCATAAAGGTTAGTTGAAGATTTTATGAGAATAAAATAGTTCTTTTTTCTTATTTATTTATAAAGTAAAAGAAAAAACATACGAGAATAAAATAATTCTAAATTGAATAAACTAATTTTAAGATGATAATTTTTATCATAATATTAAAGAGGTGGAATATATTTGATTATTAATTAATATTAATTTAATTCAATGGCAGTAATATGTTTTCTGATCTTAATTATAAAAATAGCAAGCAAATTTACAAACACTGAAATGAATTCAAATAATTAATTTGAAAGAAAAATAGTACAATTAGCAGATGATAATTGTGGAACTAATAGTTGTCTTACATATGTATTATGGTCAAAATACAACCCACTAAGTGCAATAGTTAAAGTTTGGATTGTTAGAAATTTTCATCAGTCAGTGCTATCATTTACATATAATGCAATGGATTTTGAATAAAAGAATTTAAATATAGTTTATTTTGATTTTCTTATTGTTGATTCTTTCTAACTAAAATGCTTCTACTTTTTATTTACTGTTCATAATTCACAAATATCTATCTTATTATATTGTCTCTTTGAATTTAGAATATTATAAGTAATAATGCTAACTAGACTAAACCTAACCTTTAATCATCCACTATTGATTCCAATTCTTGCTGACGCTTGTCAAAAATTTTGAGAATAATTCTCCCCATTTTCATAATCTCATAAATTTTTGGTAGAAGTTCAATTAAACCATAAAATCAATTCCTTTTATAATTCAGTTTACTCTTTTGACTCATCCATTTGTTTAATTCCATTAATAATATAGATTGGAAGAATAAGTATTAATTGAAGAAAAAATATTTTTAGAAATGGCGAAATAAAGTACTTAAGGATTGTAGGTTAACAACTAATATAAAAGTAATTATGATTCATTATTGTAGCAAATATCTTGAAAAATATATAATCCTAATAAATTATTTCAGGATTTTATTACTAAGCAAACATTAACTTAGAAGTTGTTGTAAAGTTTAAATCTACTAGTTAACCAAAGTAAATTATACAAAACTTGATACAGTTAATATCATAATGCACAATCTAAACTATTTGAATTAGTTCAGTTTTCAAATTATCTATTTTACCAAACACCATGTTGAATAGTTATTTGAGTATGAATATTACATTTATTTGATTCCTTTCCAGAATTCTCATTAAGAAAAAAATCAAATATTATTTAAGAAGAAAACTAAATATTATATATAATTAAGAAGTTTTACGATATTTAAATATTAATTTTCTTCTTTATTTAAATTTAATATTCTTAATTAAGATTCTTGGATCATTAATTAAAAAATAGTTTATAAAAGTTCAATTAAATTGATAATAATATTCTTAAAATTCATTGTCAAATTTTATAATCGATTTATTTTTAAATGTATGGGTTAGTATAGATTTAAGTTTAATTAAAATAACTTTATTAATTAAATCCTGATTATTCATATATGTTTGATTATATAGGTATACTTCCATAAATTTACTATCTATTAGGATATTCACTTGGACTAGAAGTATCATTCGTAGTCAAATAATGAATTCTAATTTAGTGTATTGAAATATTACCCAATGCTTACTTTAAATATACTAATAGCACTTAACCATATTGATATGGAAATGATTGCAAAGAAGATCCAAAAATAAAAAAATAATCTAAAGGTTTAAGCACAAATAACATTTTAAACTCTAGTAATAGATCTCTAATTAAAAATATTATTTTAAGTATACTTAAACAAATTTACAATTAACTTCTGATAATGCACCTGTATTTTTATCTATAATTGATTTTAAATAATTTGAAGCTGTTATAGTATATTATGTTATTGCATCAAATTTTACATTTAGTTCATCTTAATTTTACTTATGTTTATTTAATATTTATTTCTCTTAAGCCAATGCTGGTTTTCATGATGATGATTAATTTTTATAAAATTAATTTATAGTTGATATTTTAGGACAATCAGAAATTTATTAATTTAATAATGTTTAATCACTTGAAAATATAGCTGATTATAAACAAACAGGTTGATTATTGGGATTAGAAAACGTTTATTCAGATAATGGGAAATATTGAATAGCTGATGCATCACAATATGACATTTTATCTGGTACTGAACTCATTTTGTAATTATTACATGCTTTAATTTATTGTCTCATCTTATATTTAATAGAATCTTATTTGGGAATTTATTCTGACTCATCAACTCTTTCAAATGTAATAAATGAAGTAATAAAATCTAAATTAATTCTTAAACTTGCATTTCCTGTTGCTAATTATTTTTTAAATTCTTCTTTTTATTAATCAAACGAATTTAGAGAAGCATCTAAATCAATTGCTAATTTTAAACTATCATAAACATTGTAATAATTTAAAATATCTCCATCTTTAAATAAACATTCAGTCATAATTTCTTTAATTTATTTATCTTTTATTGCATAATTTAAGCTTTCAAATTTTGTTTAATTTGTTTATATTACATCTATATAATCACAAACTTCAGCAATCATTCCACTTGTTACTCCTAAAGCTGCACTTAAAATAAATCCAATTATAACAAATAAAAAATTAAATGAGCAAGCACATATTAATAAACATCTTAAAAATTTTAATCCTTTTCCAAAACAAAGTAAAATAGAACTAAAAACAATTACTAAGGAACAAAATCCAAATGCTCCAAATATAATATAAAAAACAAGTGAGGCAAGATCACTTAAATCATATAATGTTTTTGTATTATCTAAAAAATCATTAGCCATATTAAATAAATTTAATTATGTATTTTCAATTTATTTTTTAGCATTTTCTAAATTATTAGAAATGTTATCTTTATCATCAGATAATTATTGTCCATCCTTTTAGATATTTTCTATCTCATTTATAATATTCTCATAAATTTATTAAAATATTTATGATTATGGTAATACCTTAATTTATTGTACATCTAAAACTATTTCATCAGCACTAATTTTTTTATTTGTTGATATATAACCAAGTATATTGTTGGTTCCATAATAAGTTGTTAATGGAATTGTTTCAAGACTATAAATATAATCTTAAATAACATACTTTTGATTTACTTCAGATAATTTTTCATATTCCTTTTACAATTATTATACATTTATTAAATCTAATTAGTTTTATGTATCTGATACAAAACCGCATAATCCATTTTTAATAATCGTTATGCTATTTATTACAGAATCCAATCCTTTCCATCTTTAAATTTCTTCATCATTATTATATGTAGCCCCATCATTAATATCATTCAATATCATTAATCCAGCACATCTAATTGATTTTATAGAGTTTCCAACTTAATCACTCATAATTAAACCTGCAATACAAAAAGTCATTATGATAATACCAAAGATTATAGAAATTGCCAAAGGTATTCTAATATCTTTAATTTCTTTGGCTTTAGTACACTTACAAAATCCACATAAACAATTTGATAAATTTTTATTCTATCGATCACGCCAACATCTAATAAGTGTAATATGAGTGAAAAATGATATTACTAAAAGAATTGCCCACGGAAGTAACATAATAATCACTGCCTTACTTGCATCTTACTATTTTTCAGATGAAAATTTCCCATCATTTTCAGCCAAGTTATCTAAACCTATTCGGTAATTAGTGGATAATAACTGATCCCTTAATCGTTTTGCTTCTGATATTTCCTTTAAAGAGGGTTAATAATCTAATAGAATTTTTTCATATACCAACATAAAGACAAATATCAACAGTAACTTATGATAAATTTTCTAAATAAGTTTCTGATCCCTAAATTTAATTAGATTCTTAACTTACATCTAGATAATTTTATAGCACAAGTAAACATCCTAGACAAAGCAAGAAAACACAAGTTATTGAAGTTTTTTTTTTCATTAAATAATTATCAAATTGTTAATTGAAAACTGAGTTATTTATCGTATATTCATAAATAACTCTATTACATGAAATCTATATTGCAAATAATTTAAATAGAATTTAAAATATATTACCATTGAAATTTCTATTTTTATCATTTTTTCAATACTTTTTTATAATTTAATTATATACTATATTGATATATTATTTTGAATATATCTTCAAGATTGCAATCGATTTGAAGTATCATTTCAATTTAGATATTGATTTTTATTTAAAAGGTTATTTTATGTAATAGATTATATAAATGAGAATGGATCTAAATATCAGATTTATATTAATATATCGATATTCTAAAAATTAATTTAACTCTCAAAATTTAATAAGAAATATTTTATTAGCTAAGTCTTATATTCCAAATCTTTTGTCCTCCTAAAATTATCTCTTTTTTTGGTTTTTAAATTGATTCTACATTTCAAATCTTGAAATGATATTTTTTATAAATTCAAAGCCATGTTTTGTGGTTCGGTTGGAATTACAAAATTAGAAGTTTCCTATGTTTGTTATTCGCCTAAGACAATTTTTATATTTTTTTGAACTTTATTAGCCCATTATTGTGGAGAAAAATCAGTAATTAATCAAATGCTTAATTAGTCATTAATAATGGTGAAGAAATAGGCCTATAAATGGAAGAATTTATTAAAAAATAATATCTAATTTCTAGAAAATATTTGGAAGACTCAACAAAAAATATCTAAAACTAGATTTTGAAACTAAATAATTAACTACCATTAGATTAAAAAATGAGGATTACAATTCACAATTAAGTTGATTTTTTATTGTGGAATATACAAATATAAATATTGGATATTCCACTAATAAATTCTATTAATAATGTTTAATATATTCATATTCCCAAATATCATTACATAAATTTTATCACGTATTTAACTTAATTTAGTTATCAAAATTATTTCATTTCAATTAAATTATATCCTTAATGATTTAAGTATCCATTATACTGTATTATTTGATAATCAAAAAAATTTAAAACCCATCTTTTTATATATTTTATCAAAATACTCTTTAGGTCATAAATACTCTCAAGATTTAAATGAGGATTACATCAAACCCAATAATTAAATTTTTATCATACTTTACTAAAATCATTAATCCATAGTAATCCCTATTTTCTATTTTTTTAAAGGAGGGGATATTCAATTCTTTCAATCCAATCACTTATTTTATATAGATATATATGTCCAAACACATATTTTATTTTCAAAGAAATTATATTAGTATTATTATCATTTTCTTTTAGTCCAACTTTTACCTTCATTTATTTTTAAAAGTGTATTAATTTAAAATAATTTCCCTTCAACAAACATTTTTGTTCTGTTTTATCATCAAAAATTTCATTCTTAATCTATATTTAATAAGAAATAAGCAGCAAAATAGAAAAAGAAATATTTTATAATAATGGATTAGTTTAATTTATATTATTTATTAGAATATAGGAACATTTAAACATTTTAATTAGAGAATGGTGTTTATTAAAGTTAGTGAAAATTTACATAAAACCAATATTATTATTAAATTAAATTACATAAAAAAAACTTACATAAATTTGAAATTCTTAATTTAGCATATAGAGTACTCTTAATTTTGATTAGTGCATTAGATAAGCGAATACATATGCCATTTTTGATTAGTATACTAATAACTTTGATTTATTGAAAAAATCTTATCAATCTAATTTAAATTTTTTTAATGGACTCTTAAATATAATCTAAAAATAAATTAAATTTAATAATATCATTCTTAAAATTATCTTATTTGTAATTCAGTAGATTTATTATCCCATGTAATTAAATATTCCCCATCATTTGTTATAGTGCCATAGATAAGTTAATCTCCAAATTTAATAAATTATAAAGTTTCACAATCTCCTTCTGGTGATATTTTAATTATATTAATGTATCTACCGTTCTTATTAATTATAATGTTTTTATTTTTTATGAATTATAAGGGAAAATAATTATGGCAAACATTGCTTGCTGATTTTACTTAAACATTTTTTTTAAGTTCAAACATTTTACTTTAATCATTCAAACCATAAATCTATAGATAATCTTTGCATCTTGGTTGAAAAGCAAAATGATTATCATCAACAAAGCATATTCGATACCCCCATTAATCTAAATCGATTGTTTATATCTATTTCCAAACTTATTTTTTTTATTTTAAATAAATTACAACATTATCTTAACAAGAAGAAATCAACATATTAGATGATTAATTTAAACAATAACTCATGATTTTTGATTGATTTATTATAGTTTATGTGCAGTTCCACTCTTATTGTTTCTCATACAATTTTAATGAATTATCTTTTGATTGAACAATTAGATCTTCTTAATCGTTAATAAGAAGATTATACTATGGAGATGAAGAAATAAATTCCCAAATATTTCTCCTTCTGATAAATTAATAACTAAATTATTATCTTTCATTCTTTTTCCAAAGCATTATGTCACCAAACTCACTTCCAAGTAAAAACTCATCAGAGGATTAAAAAAATTTTAAGTAATTAATTTGATTTATTTCGAAAAGATCAATCACATGTACCAACTGTAATTATCCCTTGTTAAATCCATAGATTTTAATTCGATTTGATACATCCATTGCAATAATTGAAGAATCTTGATTGAATGAAATTATTTTGCATTGAGATTTATTCTCTTATAAATGAACAGAACGTAAAAATTCATATTTCTATACTTTCATCTACAAGCTTATAAAATAATTATACATCATCTACTTCTAATTCTTAAATTTAAGATCTTAAATTTTCGATCAATTGATCAGAAGAATTATTTATTTTTTCAAGTAGCCTTCTTTAAAAATCATTAAAGTTTATCATATTACTTAAGACAATCTCAATTTGTTTTCCTCCTAAATCCATTAATTTTTTTAGATTCCATTAAAATCTTTTTTATATTTAATTTTGAAGTTAATGGAAAAGCTCCATAATGAGTTAAATTAACTACTTTAACTCTTACTCTAATGAATTAAATTAATAAGAGAAATCTATTAAATAATCTGGTAATAATTCAATTTTATTAATGTGTTTTCTATCATGCTAATGTAATGAATTGACTTGAAAACATTATTCAAAACAAAAAAATCTAGGATCTTTGCAAAAAGGATTGATACAAAAGAAATCAACTTTTGATTGATGGTTTTACTAAGGGCAGTTAATATTAAACATCTTATCTTTTTTCAACTATAATTATTTATGAATAAATTAAGAAATAATTTAAGTTAATAAATGTGATAATATTAATATATA